GCGTCAGGCTCCTCAGCTTCACCTCCTGGCTCATGCGGGTGACACGGGTAGAACTAGTTGGGAGTAAGCATTCCACCAAGACTTGCATTATTTGCATTCGTGACTAGTTTAATATTTTTATTGTATCAAATTCACATGTTTCTACAGCAAACAAAAATCACATCTGTGCCTAGGAAAAGACTTCAAAGTTATGCCAGTCTAGGACAAATATGGTTAGTGACTATTAATAACGTGTATATTTATTACGACAGTTGTTTACAGAACCAAAAACCTCTATCATGTACTCAAAGAAAATGAGAGATTCCCCCACGCTTACATGAATATCAAGTAGTGAGGAAATTTTGAATCAATGTGCATCATGCTGAATCTGGAATAACTGGAGGAATATATTGCATTGTGGCCGCAGCCTCAGTTTCCAATACTGCCACATGAAATGGCAGACTTTACTTGCAAAATCTTACCTAGACCTTGTTTCTTCACTTGAGATCTTCTCCACAGTACTCATCATTGATCATTAGAGTGTGATAATAGAGAGGGGCCCTTAGTTGTGATGTTTCTCAAATATAGCTTTACAGTACAAGCAGATATTTTGTTGATTTACATATTAGATTTGGCCAGGCATCCTAGCAAGTTTTATAGTTGGTTTGAGTGTTCTTTGCAGCTTCTAGGTCTCCAACTAGATGCTATTTTTAATTATTATCATTTTTATGCTGCACATGTTTCTGGAATTATATATCACACCTAGTATGGAAGACTAGTGTATGAAACTGACTAAATACACAAACATGGCATTTTGGAATGTTGCAGCAAGACTAGCCAACAGTAATCTATTATCAATTTCAGACTGGAAATTGGTGGCTTGCACCAGTGACTCCATAGAACTGCACAAATGCAAAATAATAATTTTTTTAAAAAAATCTACAAATCTACAAATGTAATACTAAAGTGCTGAACTTTTATTACATGGTCTGGAACATAGCCAATCAGGAAACAGAAGAGTGCAGTCATTGAGTTTGCTAAGCTGAAAACAGTATTGGAGAACTAGGTTGTAATTTTGTACACATACCATACTAACCAGCATGCAAGGGCAGAAAACAGGTGGTGGGGTTTGAAAAGTAGGTCATTTGGAATGAGCCCTTCTCAAGGCAGAAGATCAACAACTTCTTATGTATACTCTGCAATGGACAAACAGATAGTATCAGCAGGAGAGATGTTTCTTCAAAGATTTCTGAGGATTTGGTTTATGTTGTCAAAGAAACAGCACCAAGGAAAAATGCTGCTAGAAGCTGAGGAACATTCAGGGTGGGGAGGAATCGCAAACCAAAGCAGAAGACAATAATACACTTTTACTAAAGCAGATAAAGCTAGACTTTCTTGTAGAGGAACAGCTCTCAGCCACTGCTTCCTCCAGATGTTTTGGACTTCTTCTCCCAGAAAGAAGCTCCAGCCAGCATGGCCAGTGATCAGAATTGTACTGTAAAGTTCCAAATACCTAGAAGATCAAAAGGTTGAGAGCCACTACTCTAGAGCTGAGTTACTGTGGCTTTCTAAGTGCTGCTAGACTATAACTCCACCTGATACTTCAGCTGCAGAGAACTCGTATTTTTAAAGGTAGTACAGCTCACAGTAGGTCCTCCACTGCAAAATATACCAAGTCTTACAATCACAGTTCAGCTCATCAGCCACTGACATATTTACATTACATCTTATGTTTTCAAGGAAGATACCGGTGCGGCCTTAGAATGATCAAGGAAGAAAGGGTTGCTATTGATACTTTGTCTCCCTGGTACTCACAGCCTCTAGAGAAACAAATTATAGGCAAGGAGTAGTGAAACCAGGGCTCACAGGGCATCACTCACCATTCCCTGAGACTTCTCTATTCACACTCTGAGTTTAGCTTCAGTCTTCACAGTAGATAGGAAAGAAAGAGACTGTCCCAGGAAAAGTCTATTGTTGTACGTTATCTCTGTTGTAATGCAAGTTAGAGAGTGGGTTGGTCTTGTATGAGCAATTAAGAAGCATTGACCTTATAAAACACAGGCAGCCAGTGTGATGTAGTGGATGGAACAACACAAGAGTAATCAGAAGACTTGGGTGGTTTAAGTCTCACACACCCTGGAAATTCAATCATTCCTTGAATATCTCACATACCTTCAAAACTATCAGGGGCATCATAAATCAATTGTGGCATGATGGCCATTAACATCATCAGCTTTAGAGAAGACCTGTTCCTCATTTGTCAAGTCTCCTTTTTTGCACTCTTTGGGAGGGGGCTGGAGATGAGAACTGTCACACTGAGCACCTGCACTTCCACATTTATAACCATGCCACTTAATAAGAATAATAATCCAGGGCTCTTCATACTGCCACATCTAGAGGCAAAAAATAATTTACATTCTTCTTTTTTATAGAAGAATCATTAGAGCAAACATCTACCATAGACAGAGAAGAATCTCAAAGGAGCTAGCTGGAAAAGTACTAAATTGTAAATGCCATGGGTCTGAACGAACACACATGGTAACAACCAGTTTTCAACCAGAATTAAAAGCAACCTACTCCATCTGTTATCAGTGGGACACCAAATCCTCTCCCAGCTTTGCATCATTCAAGTTATAGAGGTTGGCACACATAGGAAAAATTATCACTGCAAGCATCTACAACAGCCCAGCTGAACGTCTTCCAGAAATCTGAATTTCTATAGACTGTATCAAGTCCTGATGATCTATATGAGGTTTGTAACTCAGCTGTCCCTTTTCTGTAATGGATGAAGCAACTGTATTGATACTCCAGAGACACTTAACCATGCTTCTTTCCCTTTGACAGCTCCAGTGAATTCCCACCTACAGTGATAGCAGATAGGTATTCCAGTTCTCAGTGGGACCCACAGCCATCTTCACCTGCTCACACCCAGGGCGATCGATTGTAAATATTACTATTCCTATATAAACAAAGCGCAAACTCAAAGAGAATGCTGCAGCATCAGTGAAAAAAAGGAAGACAGACAAAACTACCTTATTCTGCATTTGATGCATTTGGTACAAATAACTATCAAGACCATAGCTGCAAAGGAGGGTGTGCCACGCATGCCTGACTCCCCATTCCAATCCTGTTTTCAAGATGTTACATTCAACTCCTAGAGTCTATCTTTGGGGATTCAACAACTTCTAGTTTTAGATTTGACAGCATAAGTTCCAATGCATTATGCATATGACAACACAAAATAGCTGCTTTTACTTGCTGTGTTTCTCCTCATGGGAGATAAAGTTCAATTCCCTGTAAATAAATATTTGGTGAAGTAATTTAAAAAATCCCCAGATTTAAAAACACCAACAATAATGTGCAGAGATCAAAGAACTATGAATCTACCAGGAAGGGTAGAGAATGGGATACTTCTAGATTTTTTTGTAACAGAATAACAACAACAACAACAACAACAATAACAACAACAACATAATAGTAATCAATAATCATTTGTCATCAAGTCAGTTTTGATTGGTGAAGACCCTTCTCAGATTTTCCAGGTAGATAATACTAAGAAATGGTTTTCCAGTCCCTTCTTCTTCTTCTGGGGTGCCTTGGGATCATGCAACTTGCCCAAGGCCACATAGACTAGCTCCACTCATGGGAGGCACAGTGGGGAATTGAACTCCCAACCTAGGGCTCCCAGAGACCTAAACCACTGAGCTAGCCAGCCAACTTATAAAACAACACAGCATTTTGTACCCCTTCTGGAAACAACCCCCCCCCCCCGATTTATCAACAACCCATTCACAGACACAGCACTATGCAGTCCAGAACAGAAAACAACATTTCACTTCACGTATTGATATGCCACTCTTTGATCTTCCCATAGTGCCTTTTAAAAGCTCCATAAATGGCTGCTTTTTAATTAATCAATTAAGTGATCAATTTCAGAGAGGTGACTCTCAAGTCTGTTTCAGCAGCAACAACAAAAATATTGTGGTATCACTAACACTCGTAAACACATTTTACAGTGTGGCCTTTCCTAGATGTCAGGCTACTTCTTCAGATACATCAGCAAAATTTCCCAACCCCAAACATTCACATGACAAGGCTACCCATACGCTCAAGCTCATGAATGGGTTGCCTTCTCAATGGTGCTGGACTGCGGAACTTGCTGTGCTGCTGATGAATCACTCTCTGCTACCAGTTTATCACCACTGAACTACTGTACTGTACTCTCTTTTGAGTTCTACCAACTGCTGAACTACTGTACTCTCTTTTGAGTTCTACCAACTCCTCTGGCCGATTATCTCCAGGCGTCGCAACAGCGCCCTCTGTCGATAGATGCAGGGACCGCACCAAGCCAATTTCCTGCCCCACGAGTGCCGCAGCTCCTCTACCTATTCTAATTGCAGTCACCGATTAATATTTAGGTATCTGAAGGTCACCGTAGTATCACCTTCAAAAATGCTCTTTTTAACGCTGGAAGTACAATTTCGCATTTAAGTGAAATCCCTTGAGGCAAGGTAATCACGTTTTGGTTGGCGATCCTAAATGCAGGCAACACACCTGGGGAGCACCTCGCCAAAAAGCTCCAGGAGACTTACTCCCGCGTAGAAATGCGCCAGACTGCAAGAAGCAACAAGTCTCCTTTCTAGCCCAGGATTTCCAAGACGCACGTAAAGGTTTCTTTTCTTTTCTTTTTTTCCCTCCCCCTCTCTTTTTTCCTTACCCGTATCTCTGTGCTCGCTAAACCAACTCTTGGCTTGCTTGCGTTTCCTAGTTCCTTCTGCAAAGGGGGAAAGGAGAAAAGGGCTTTTTAACTAACTCAGGAAGGGGGGGGGTACCAAAAAAGAAAAAGAAAGAAAGAAAAAAGGGGAAAAAAGAGACTTCTCTCCGTTCTGTTTTCCCAGCTGTTCTGCTGAGGGAGTCCAAAACAAGAGAACGGTCAGCCTGCAAAAAAAAAATGTTAAAAATACAGAGCTTTAAAAACAGCCGCTCGAGGAGGAGGAGGAGATGACTTTCGTTTGACTTACCAAAGCTCCTCCAGCAGTTTTTCCTCTCTCGCACGCTCTTTTTTTCCCCCCTCTGTCTCTCTCTCCTTTCTCTCTTTTTATCTCCCGATTTCCTTTTTCCAATTGCTGAGCTCACCGGATAGGAACGGCCATCCCATGTTAGCCTGCCAGCCGCCCCCTTTCCCGCACGGTCGGTCGGTCGGACGGACGGACACGCGTGCGCGCACACACAGAGAGAGAGGGTGACCTCCACGCGGGAAGTGGGGGCGCAGCCGAGCCAAGTCGGGCGGCCAGCGGCACCGCGCTCCTGGGGGCAGGAGGAGCTCCGCCACTGCCTCCCTCGGCCCGGCAGCGGCCGGTTGACGAGGCGGCGAGGCTGGCCTCGGCTACTGCGCTACCCGACCTTAAAGGGACACGCGCCCTCCGCCGAGACGGAGCAGCCGGGCTCCCCCGGACTCGGGACGCCGCCACCCAGGAGGGCGAACGTGCTGGCTCTGCGCGGAGGATCGCACGACCCCCGGCTCCTTGCTTGCGAAATCGGCCTCCGGAACTTGGGCGGCCGAGCCCCTTCGGCTGCAGCTTTATCACAGCCCCTCTCATAGACCGAGTGGTGAGGAGAGATATCATAAAGCTTGCATTGAGGGGGGGGCGGCAAAGCTCCAGGGGGAATCCAAAAATACACGCAACTTGCTTCCTTGATCCCTGTCCCCCAACCCATTCTAGCAATTCTTTCTCTCCACCACGAAAGTTTCAGGGGGTGAGGGATTCTGGGAGATATAGATCCCCCCCTCCAAGCTCTGCTAATGAGGTTTAATTGCCCGTTCGGAACCAATATTAATAACCACGTGTCTTCAAGTCAATTCTGACTTATGGCAATCCTTTTCTCAGAGTTTTCCAGGCAGAGAAGACCCTGCCGTTATTGACCGTTCCCTCCTTCTGGGGGCATCCTGGGACTGTGCAGTTTGCCCAAGGTTACACGGGCTGGCTTTTCTTACAGAAGAAGGCACAGTGGGGAATTGCACTCCTCACCTTAAACCACTGAGCTTATCTAGCCAGCTCCCTTACTCCAAAATACTTGGCATAACATCAGGGCAAGGGCCGTATTTTCTGGAGATCTGTGGAGGGACTGACAGAAACGTCACCCACATTACCATAAGAATTGCAGCTAAGTTCAGAAGAATCAGGAAACTACTAGAAGGGGAGTGGCAGGTAACATCATGCTAATGTACTCGATACTCGGACTCTACTACACCACTAGATATGAAAAAAAAAGTTTTTTAGGCTTTCAGCTTGGCATGGAGAAAATGAACAGAAAGAGGTTTTTCCTCTGTTTTTTCATATTAAGATGAAAATCCAGTGGAGTTTCATGATAAGAGGTTTACAACAAAACAATGGAAGCACCTTTTCTTTCACAAAGTTAAACTCCAGAGTATTCTTCCACATGAATCATGCTGGCCACCAACTGAGATGGTTCAAAAAGAAAGAAAGAAACCCAGATTAGACAAATCCATGGAAGATAAAGACTCTAAGAAGCTACTAATCATGAAGGCAATCTATTACTTCCAGCATTAGAGGCGACATGCTGGTAGACAATAGGAAAAGAGGATGGATTGCCCACTTATCACACTTGTAAGCTGCATAAAAGCAACCGGTTGATCACTGTGGGAAATGCAGTTCTTTGGGCTTTGGGTCTGAACCAGCGGGGCTTGTCTCATAGCACAGAACACACCCTCCCAACAGCTCCTTGTCCTCTGGAGGACACATGGATCCAGAATGTCCTCTCTACAGTCCCAGGGCAACTGAGGGTCAAGACCTACATTAGCAAGAGCAAGACATTAGAACAGGCAGTTACTTAAGTGCTGAATGTTTTTGTTTGTCACAGGAAGAGATTTTCATACTTCCCCTGGTCTGCAAATTCGCTTGCCTTGTCCTGCCATTGGTCTTCTGAAGGTAAACATCTGCAAATTGTAAATCTGATTTCTCAGATACAAAGCAAGAAAATGTAGCTCTGCAATCCACATGAAAAGCAAAAGTCAGGGTTGAGTAATAACTTTGCTGCCATGTGCTGTCAAGTCAGACCAACTTATACTGACCCTAATAGGGCTTTCAAGGTAAGTAAGATATTTAAGGGTTTACCAGTTCCATACCCCCAGTGAATTTCCATGGCTGAGAGGGATTTGAACCCAGGCCTCATGAGTCCTAGCCCATCCACTACACACTGGGTACCACACTGCAGTAACATGATATGAACAAGGCAAGCTTTAGAGTTCCCCAAAACATCTGGCCTGATGTTCTTTTCCTGAACTCCAAGACTGTATACCATCTCTGCCTGATGAAGAGTTCTGGAGAACTCAAAGCCCAACCTTGTCTGCACCTTTTAAGGGATCCAGTAAAATCTTTAATCCAAAAAGGAGAAAGGTCTCACAGAATCACACCTCTGGAACATTAATGTGATTTTAGCATTTCAATATGTGTGATTTGGAACATATACTTTGGTCCTGACAGTGGAAGCACTGTTATTTCTGGCAGAATTTGCAAAAATTCCTATTTTGTACTACAACTCCCTTATCTCCTCCCCAACAAGAGAAATAAACCTGCTTCAAGCTTTGGGGTGTGACAGGCCAGCTCCCTGCAACTGCTTCCTCCTTGCCTGAGATCAGGCCTCTTCAGCCCTTTGTTTTGATCGTTCTGGGACTCAAGTGCAGTTGGTCCTCTGGGCCAGGAGAAGGATGTGCTTTCCTGCCACTTCTGCAATCCCACACCAAGATGCTTTCTGCAAGTCTCTTCATGCATCACAATCTAAGCTTGTCCAGTCATTCTCTGTCAGGCCTTTTAACAGCTGCATGCCAGTTAGAAAGATAATGCATTACGTTTTCCTCAGTTTATTCTTACTTGTTTGGACCACCGATGCCTGATTTTTCCCATAACAAATTCAGAGAAGCAGCCTTGGGTTTTCCCTTCCCCACTTTATACTTGTAAACAACCCTGTGAGGTGGGTTGGGCTGAGACCATGGATGTGGCCAAAGATCACCCAGTGAGTTTCACAGTCAAGGAGGAATTCGAACCCAGTCCTCTTGAGTCCACTCTAACCACTTAGACCACACTGTCTCTTGTATGGAGTCTCTCTGACGGAGAGGGTGCCCTCATTTTAACCTCTGCCTGCCAAACCTAAGGCACGAGAGACTCTTCTCAAGACACAGAGAGCCCTGTCTCATACCTGACAGCCCTGTTTGTCTTGAGTCTTCCATAACCAATATGTGGCTATCTCGCTGCTAGATGCTTGCAATATGTTTATAGGGAGGGAGATTGATTGATTGATAAATAGATAAATAGATAGGCGGACAGGCAGATAATCAAACTTCTAAATTGTTGTCCTCATGCATGTCAGGGTTTTTGACATCATTGTATAAGCTGGCTGTATTTGGAAGAGCGAGGGCAATATGCAGTAAAGTGGCATTAGAGTCAATTGGGGAAAAATTGGCCAGATTTGTTCATTTTGCTGTACATGATGTCATTCAGCCTGGGGAAAAGTGCCAGGCCAACCTATAGTCATAAATGTGCCTACGAACTGGGAGTCAAAGTGTTTGTTAGAGATTAACATCGTGCCTTGTCCCTACGAACTGGGAGTCAAAGTGTTTGTTTGTTAGAGATTAACATCGTGCCTTGTTCCTCTCATATAGAACTTAGTTATGATGCTGTGCAAATACATTTTTTAAAAAAATCAGCAGGTGTATCTGGAGGCCATAATTCAAGGCAGAAATCAATAGTGTTACTTTGTGGGCTACAGCTTCCAGAATCCCACAGTCAAGGTAGTCACTGACCACTGACCACCCCGGTTGTGAGATTCTGGAGGTTTTAGTTCAAGACAAGCAAAGTTTCACATCTCTGACCAGAAATGGAATTGCAAAAGCTATGAGAAGTGAAAGTGCATAATGATGCAGCTAAGGTAATTATTTTTTTCTTAGTGGGTGCTTCTGGGGCCATATTTCACTATGGAGGTAGTAAACATGCCGGCTGTTGGATTTCAGAAGTAGTAGTCTAAAAAATTAACTTTTGCCATATTTTCTTCCATAATAGGCCGCATGTGTTTCATAGAGAGAGAAAAAAACTTTTAAATCTTCTGCTTCTGAAAAGGATATCAGCACATCAAGTAACAAGAGGTCAGCCTGAAAGCAGCCCCACTAGCCTTGAGCTGTGTGGACCGAAGTTCTGAGCTGGTATAAGACAACATTTTGCATTTTATATGGTCCTCTTTTTCTGTTTTTCTTTCCCATCCCCTCCAGTTCTTTCCAGAGACAACATTCTCCCACTTCCACCCAACATCTTTTCTTAATCCAGATTTTAATGTTAGAATGCCTAGAAGGCTTAAGGGTACTTCCAGATGGATGACTCTTAGTGCTACCAATTAAATCACATTGTGCAGCTATTCCATCTCTCCCTCCTTTTTTGTGGTAAGAGAGAAGATGCAAGAAGCATTGGGAAGACATGGGTGGGTTATATATGTAAGATAATGATGCTGTCTGCTTCCAAACCCCATAAAATTCTTCTAAGAGACAGTAAAAGCCTTGCCTGAAAGCACCATTGGAGCAAGTTACAGCATTTTGGTACTAAAACGGTAACATACAGTCAATGACACAAGATGAAAAGTCCTGCCCTTCTTCCATGAACTCTGTTCAACAATGAACGAGCCTTGCTGAAGCAGATCAAAAGCCTGAACTAGCTCAAGGTTTTGTTCACTCTGCAGCCAACCAGTTGCCCGTGGAAGTGTTTTCCAATCTTGGACCCCCAGATGTTCTTGGGCTAAAATTTCCACAGGTCTTCACCACTGGTTGTGCTGGCCAGGATTTCTGGGAGTTGAAGGCCAAGAACATCTGGAGGGCCACAGTTCGACACCACTGATCTAGGGACACAAGGTTGGGAAACACCGGCTTACAAGAAGCTCAGCTGCAGGACACAAGTGCAACCATGCTCCCAGCACACTCAGAGGAAGCCCAGGGAGGACTCCATACTTACCTCCAAAGTGTCTGCAACCCGAGGATCCAATCCAATGCAAAGGAATTTTGACAACTGCAGCTTCTCATCAAGCCCTCTAGGGAAAAATAATATTCCTCAGACAAGCTCTTGCTTCCCTTCTCACTCCTGAGTTCACAACTACACTCTGTGCTGTTGCAACAAAGGAGAAGCTTCAGCATTCTCTGAAGTGCTCAACAAAAGATATATGGGTACTAGAAGCTGAACCTGGTGAGTCATGAAGAATTTTCTTCTCACTTTCTGCAAACCCCAGCAGACAAACAGCTGAAGTAGCAGAATTCAAGCTTTTCCTGCTTTGAAAAAGGTAAAGGAAAGGCAAACTTTGACATTCTCAGAGCTTTTCCCATTTAGGAGGAAAAAAAAATAGGTAGAAAAGTATCCTCTCATATGGGTACTAGAAGCTGAACCTGGTGAGTCATGAAGAATTTTCTTCTCACTTTCTGCAAACCCCAGCAGACAAACAGCTGAAGTAGCAGAATTCAAGCTTTTCCTGCTTTGAAAAAGGTAAAGGAAAGGCAAACTTTGACATTCTCAGAGCTTTTCCCATTTAGGAGGAAAAAAAAATAGGTAGAAAAGTATCCTCTCATTACCCAGCTTTTCCCATTTAGGAGAAAAAAAATAGGTAGAAAAGTATCCTCTCATTACCCAGCAAGGTTTCTGCTGGCTCCTGAAGGGGGAAAAAAAGAGAGATATAGAGCCTGTCTTCCCACTCAACAGCTGCAGTTGTTTTCCTTGTTGCAGACGAAAAGGAAATAGTCAGCAGACTGGCACTGATGTGGTTGAAAACCACGGGCATAGATGGATGCCCAACTAACCACTGGAAAGGTGCATCTTGACAAAGTTAGTGGCAATGGTGCCAACCACAATATGAAGAACTGATGGTTCTTCTAAAGTACCATATTCTGCGTAACCACAGTAACTCAACATCATATTTCTCTACTCCCAGACATGCCTACAAAGCTGCAGCACCAAAAACAAGGGCTCATCCCAAGGTTTCATGGGTGCTTCTTCCAGATATGAGCCTTCTGAGACCTGGGGGAGACATCTGTCACATGTGCGACTGCGTAGAGCTTCGAAAATTGCAAAGATCGCCAAACTCTTGGAAGATAGTTGTTGTAGGTTTTTCAGGCCCTTTGGCTGTGTTCTGAAGATGCCAGCCACAGAGACTGGTGAAACGTTAGGAAGAAAAACTTCCAGAACAGGCCAAGCAGCCTGAAAAACCTACAACAACCATCGGATCCCGGCCATGAAAGCCTTCAAGAGTAGACCTTTGGTCTAGATGGGAAGTGTAGAAATCCAATTAAATAGATATATAAATAATTAGGAGATACTCAGATGAGTGCTGTTCCAGTAAGGGATTAATTAATTGATTGAATTAATTGAGTAAATGTGTAAAACCTACTGTTTGAAAGCAACAGTAATCTTTTTGTTTTTAAATACCACATGTCTCAGCACAAAAAATTGTTGTGCAAGAGAACAGAGAGAGTGCCTTCTTAAAATATGAACTGATTTGCAGTTGTATGCTCTCAATTCAATTCCAATTTATGGCAATCCTTTTCAAGATTTTTTTTAGTTCTGAAATAGTATATGATTCATTTCTTCAGGGGGTGGTTTGGGATTGTGTGTCTTGCTCCAGGCTATATAGGTTGGCTCTTCTGCCTGGAGACACAGGGGGAATTAACCTCCAAACTCTGACTTGACAGCCAAATACCTAACTCACTGATCTATCCAACCAGCTGATTAATTCGAACACCCTTTTAATTAATCCACAGATTTCATATTAATTAATCAACATGTATACTTCTTGGGTATTTTCACCTTGTTTAAATTAGTAGTTATTTTAAAAATGCTTTTCTAAAGATTCAATTCTATGAGATTTTGCAAAATCTTAATGCACTATTCTATAATGATTAATTGCCACCTGCATTTTGGACCAATTTTGACTGATGCACAGTGTCTGTCTTACAAGCTGGTTGATGGCTAAGCTAATATGGGGCATTTTTTAACATCTAGGTATCAGCTATGTGGACAAAGATCTGCATAATCAGGTATGGTTTTTCCAGTACCAATGTATGGAAGTGAGAGCTGGACCATAAAGAAGGCTGACCGCTGAAGAATTGATGCTTTTGAATTGTTGTGCTGGAGGAGACTCTTGAGAGTCCCTGGACTGCAAGGAGAACAAACGTATCAATTCTAAAGTAAATGAACCCTGAGTGCTCACTGGAAGGACAGAGAGTAAAACTGAGGTTCCAATACTTCATGAGAAGAGAAGACTCCCTGGAAAAGACCCTGATGTTTGGAAAGTGTGAAGGCAAGAGGAGAAGGGGATGACAGAGGACAAGATGGTTGGACAGTGTCATTGAAGCTACCAAAATGAATTTGACAAAACTCCATGAGGCAGTGGAAGACTGGCGTGCTCTGTTCCATGGAGCCACGAAGAGTCGGACATGACTTAATGACTAAACAACAACAAATCAGCTACAGATGCCTAAAGAAGCCACATCTATTGATGTCCCAATTTGGAAATATATACAAGGTGTTTAACTGTACAGTACTTAGATTTGTAGGACCATTCTCTGTACATAGAATTAAGTACTTATATACATCTTTGAACCAGCAGGGTATGTAAGAATTAAAAGAATGCAAGACTAAGTTTCTTTTTAAAAAGCTTTTTAACAATATACTTTATATCTAAACAATCTAAATTTCAGAGACTCTTAAATAGTTGCTTTGTGTTTCTCATTCCCTGCAATCTAAAATTCAGAGGGTTTTTTTTTAAGGCAGTGCAATATTTTTTATGGAAGTCAGGTTTCAAGAAAGAGACTGAAGTGAACTAGCTCCATAAAGTTACTGAGGAAATTTCGTGTCTCTATTTCAAAGGCAGGGGTGGGGGTGGAGAAACCCTAAGAGCAAAGCAGAACATTTGAAAAAGCAAGATTATGCCATAAAAGGGAATTGTTTTCTACATGAGTGTTCTGCGAAAGCTTCTGTATCAGCCTTTGGTAATCTAAATCATTTGTTAGATCAGTTGTCAAAACAAAGGAATGTGAGTATTGTTAAGCTGAGGACAAAGGTACCTATTGTGTATGGAGTTTCTGTGCCAGGCTGCCTGTTCCCTCTGACGAAGAAGTTAAACACCATGTTGTATGGAAGGGGACTGGGCTGTGAGCAACAGCAACTTTGTACTGAGGGGGCATGTGTGTCTTACATCTCATATCCACATCTTCTCTTTAATCCCTGCTCTGATGTGACAAGCTGAAACCTTCACTTCACTGAAACCAGCTAAAGTGGACCTCAGAACTGTGCCCAGCAAATCCTGGGATCTGGTACACATCATGCTGGGTTTTGATCTGGGTTCATCTCATATTAGTCATTGAGTTCACTTAAGGGCCCGTCAACACCGGGAAATTTGATCTGGTCCGGTCCATGCTTAAAAGGTTCTTAAGTGTGATGTGTTTTAACTCTCACTTGAACAATCCATCTGGCTACACTGGAGATCATGCTACAGGTCCTCTTCTCCTCTCCTGTGCTACAGATCCATTCAAAGCAAGGTTTACCCAGTTTATTCACCAGCAAGAAGGCAGCCGCAATAACAGCCAATGAGAGCTGCAGCGTGAGGGAAGAACATTGGGGTGAAGAGAGGGGAAACAGAAGAGAGGCAATCCCCACTTTTTCCAGCTTTTCTCCTCAGCTGGGGTTCTGCTAGGGTTGTGCTGCCTTATGAGGGTGGAGCCCAAGGAGTAAACATAGACCCCTTCCCTGCCTTTACTCTCAAACCTCACTTGGGGGACTGGAGGGGACTTCTTTTTTGTTTGTTTGTTTATTAAAAGAGTAAGTGGCATATCAAAATGGCAATGCATCAACCTGGCATGGTTTTGTTGCATGGCTCTGCATTGGTTAAAAGAAGGTTAATTTAGAGGAGGGGGTTTCTCCACCTTCCCTTTTAATGTTTTTGTTCAGTTGTCAAGTCGTGTCCAACTCTTCGTGACCCCATGGACATCTCGTCCTCTGTCGTCCACTTCTCCTTCTGCCTTCACACTTTCCCAACATCAGAGTCTTTTCCAAAGAGTCTTCTCTCCTCATGAGAGGGCCAAAGTACTGGAGCCTCAGCTTCAGGATTTATCCTTCCAGTGAGCACTCAGGGCTGATTTCCTTCAGAACAGATAGGTTTGTTGTCCTTGCAGTCCAGGGTACTCTCAAGAGTCTCCTCCAGCACTGCAATTCAAAAGCGTAACTTCTTCGGCCGTCAGCCTTCTTTATGGTCTAGCTCACACTTCCATACATCGCTACTGGAAAAACCATAGCTTTGACTAGTTGGACTTTTGTTGGCAAGGTGATGTCTCTGCTTTTTAAGATGCTGTCTAGATTTGTCACAGGCTTTCTCCATAATCCAGCGCATGTTAGCAATTTGGTCTCTAGTTCCTCTGCCCCTTCGAAATTCAGCTTGTACTTCTGGGAGTTCTCGGTCCACACACTGCTGAAGTCTACCTTGTAGGATTTTGAGCATAACCTTGCTAGTGGGTGAAATGAGTGTTAATGTTACAGCCCACATAATACATCACAGGCTTGTTTACTCAGTTACCACCACCCCCAGTGCTATTTTGATGTAAGTAACCACCTACAAAGGCTAAATAAAGAGCTATTTTTCATCTCAACAAAACTTGCCAAAAAGTTTGCATGTTCTAGCTCTGTGCCAGTTTGGTGCGGGAGAGCTCTTAAAGGAGAAGGATAGCTCATTCTAAAAGAAACACAA